TCACATGGCGGGAAACCAAGACTTTCCAAGGTTCGTGCTTATTCCTAAGCATGAATAAGTTTTACGGAAATCAAATTCAGACCTTCAGCTGCCCTACGTTCTCCTTCCCAAGACAATCTGTCCGGGAACTCACCTGCAGTCTAAGGTGTCTACTCATTCTACGTCAGACCTCTTTCTTCAGAAATGCATTTCTCTCACTAAAATAAAAAGGCAGGTCTCTTGCCCATCTCAAGTCTTATAAGAGTACACTACCTAACATTTTAAAATCTCTGTATTACCAAAGGCTACCAGCAATGCCCTCCTTTATTTGAGGCACCATGACTATCAGAATATTAACCAATTATACATTAATTATAGTAACTCTAGCCGTAAGAGACTTAACACTTAGAACCCTCTGTTCATAGGAATATATATTATGGTGGTAGAGAAAGTAGACAGGTAATCAAAAAAGCACTCTCAAGCATAAAAATACATTATAAAATTCCATGGGGAAAAATGCATGGAATTAACTTCAAAGGCAAAAAGGAACAATGTAAACTTTCAGACAGGTAGGAGCCTGTTTGCGTATTTTGTAAAATAGATACCATCACATTACTCTAGTATTTATAGTTAATTGCATGCATTTAAAATAAGGACATAATAGCTATTTCAAAGTGTTAATATTTTCAATAGATTTAAAATTACATTTCTCAACTATTTAAATAGTGACAAATGATAGATGGCAACTTGAAAATATGTGAGAATCTGTTTTCTCAAAATTCTTTTATGTGTATGTACGCAGGTAAATTATTTTGAAGAACACTTTTTTACACACACTAATTTTTACTTACTCTCTGATACAGTTAACATTGTTTCCTTTTTACAAATGAGAAAACTAAGGCCTGGATACATCAGGCAGTTCATCTCAGGTCACTATGCCATGTTAGCTAAAAGGCATCCTGTAAGATATGAGACTCTTAATCACCACACAAATCAGTTCCTCGTGCTATACTCAGTCAGTAGGTACTAAATAGATAGAAGTTCGGAAGACCTAGTGAAGAGTCAAAAGAAAAGGAACCTAAGAAAATAATCAGAAATCCAGTTAGTTAATTTTTATAAAGGCATACTTAGTAATGGTCCATTAATTAACGTAAACTACCCCTATTCTCTAACTTCAGTAATTCTAACTTAAATCTCAATTCTATTTTCTAAAAGTCATTTAATAATTTGTTTTTAATTTCTATCAACATTATATCCTCCAATTAAATGATCTACCACCAAAAAAAATCCCCTTACTTTTCCTACATTCTGATCATAATCTTGGTACCTAAGAAATTCTTCTTCCAAATGACTTATGATACAATGTAAGTAGTTGTTATACAGTATTGTTTATCTGATACAATGTAAGTAGCTGTTATACAGTGTTGTTTAGGGAGTAACGATGACTTCTTCCAAATGACTTATGGGTAAATAATCTCTATGAAAAGATTATTATTATTTACCCTAAGACTTAGGTTCAGAATAAGCAAAATATGATGACCAAGTAAAACTGGATAATCCATATAATGGCCATGTAAAATCACCTAAAAATTATTCTGCATTTAAAAAAAGTCCTCATCCAAGGGCATACTTGTTGATTTTAGAGAGAGGGGAAAGGAGGGAGAAGTAGAAAGAAAAATTGATTAGTTGCTTCTCCTAAGGTTGGGCACCCTCTGGGGATCAGGGCCAACCCCTCAACCTAGGCCAGGTGCCCCCACTGGAAATTAACTGTGCAAACTTTCAGTTTACCACACCAGCTCCAACCATTTGAGCCACACTGGCCAAGGCAGTCTTGTGCATTTTTAATAAATTATTTTTTAAACTTTGAAATTTGTTCTGGGATTTAGTCTATTGTGCAACAAAAAATGCTTTATTGTGATCAGGCCATTACATGTGAATTTGTTCTAACATGAAGTCTGATTCTTAAACAAAAGACCCCTAAATAACCTGTGTATAGTTGTCTATGAAATATAAACCTAAGAGCAAAAAGAAAGGTATGTTTATTAACCTATGAATTAATTCTGGCTGTCCAGTTCCATACATATTTTACTTTATTGATTTTAGAGAGACAGAGGAAGAGAGGAAAAAAAAGTGATTTGTTTTACCACTTATTTATGAATTCATTGGTTGTATGAGCCCTGACTGATTGAACCTACAACCTTGGGTATGGCAAGGACACTGTAACCAAGAGAGCTACCAGCCAGACCTGGCTGCAGAGTTCTAATTTAGAAGTAAGTTTATCAATTCCCCAAAAAGCAGAGTCCATATGAAAGCCCCAAATCAACAAGGTATAAATATATGCAGAATCATTCTTAATTACAAAATTAATCTTTACTGACTAACTGCCTGGTCATGTAATCCTGGCAAGAATTCCACGAAATATTTTATTTCCACTTTATAATTAGGAAAACACAGGGTCAGAGAAGACCAGTGACTTGGTCAGAGCATATAAAGAAGAGCTGGGACCCGAACTCCATCTACCTGAAGCCAAAGCATGTTTCCAAATGTCTAGCTAACACCTGAGACAGCACAGAAATGTGAAAGTGCCCTTCACTTATTAGCTACACCAAATTAATTTCACAAAACATTTAAAATTACGTGAAGCCCCCTAGTATCCACATTGATAGCTTTTGAATAAAATGCATTAAGAGCCATGTCATTTAGAGAGGAGTCCAGATCCAGCGAGCACTCCTGTATTGTTTTTTACCTTTTCAAAAATAGCCTGCACTGACAATTCTTTTAACATCCATTATTTTACTCTCTTCTTTGGAACAATAATAGCTGCTACCTAATTCTTTAAATGGTTGGTGAATTTTGCACTGCCCTAACGGGTACGGGAGGAATGGACATACCCAGCTATAACCTACAATCAAACATACTATTTCAACACCCCAAGAATTTTGCACTGCCGTAACGGGTATGGGAGGAATGGAGATACCCAGCTATAACCTACAATCAAACATACTATTTCAACACCCCAAGAAAATACAACTAAGATGTATTAATATCTAATACAGATCTCAAGAGTCTCACACAGACGTAACGTTTTATAATGAGCAGGGAATGGGCAAAAAACTGACTAAAACACCCAGCCCTTTCAAAGTCTGTCCAAAGCCTGAACCGAAGAGGTTCTGGGGTGGGGTGGGGTGGGGAGAAGGAAACACGCTCCACAACGAGAGGCTCCCGCAAGGGCGCCTCCATATGCGGAACTCTCGCCCAATCCCCGTCCAGGCTGAAATCCCGTGACCGCCAGAGAGCCTGTTTGGAGAAAAGTAGACAGGGAGCCCGCAAGCTGGGTTGGCAGAGGACGCTGGAACCTGGCTGCTTGGGGAGAAAATGTCTCCTTGGCAGCTGCCGCCACTGTCCTGTGGTCTGACTTCCTACGGCTGGCTCGCGAGAGAGGTGTGTGCCGCTGGCTTCTCCCCACCCCCTTCCTCCATCCCTTTCCCTCCCCGGCTCCTACACTCCGCAGAGCTGTCGCTAGCAAAGCTACACCACCTAGCCAAAAAAGAAAGGAAAAAGAAAATCCCTGGTGCTTTAGGGTCGAGGAAGGCTCGCCCTGGGCTTCGACCGGTGACAGAAGCGTGGGCACCCGCCACCCTCGCGCAGCGCGGCCCTCCGCTCCCGAGGACCGGGGGTCTAGCCATTGACATTGGCTTGGTTCTCACACACGGCCCCGCCGTCCCTTCTCCCCGGACCCCCAATCCGCCGAGGGCCGGCCCCCTCTGCTCTCCCCGGCCTCGCCCCGAGCTCAGGGGGCAGAAGGGCGATGCCACCAGCGGGCAAGTGGCCTCCAAAGAAACCATGTTAACCTTGCAATGCACACATCTGCCCACACGCCCTGTGTCACAGCCCTGCCAAGCCTGACAGCCTCCCCGCTAGAGATGCCTGCCTGCCCATCCCAGCCCCGCATCCCCTCCCAATCGCACACCCGGACCCCTACTCCGCCCGCCCGCCCGCCCTCTACCCCTTCCACCCTAAAGCAATCCCAGGAAAGGGGAGACTAGGTTTCTCCTAAGCAAATATATCTACCTGGATCAAATTCTGGGATCCGGGCTTGGTATTCAGCTCCGACTCTCATCCCAACATCTGCAAAGCAATGCCAAGAGAGAGAGACAGACAGACAGAGAGAGAGACAGGAGACAGAAAGAAAAGAAAAGGAAAGGAAAGGAAAAGAGAAAAAGGAAGAAACACTTAATAAAATGTAAAAATTGCTGGAGGGAGGAAAGAAGCGGAGGGTGGCTGGGAAGATATTAACTCCGGGCACTCCGGGAGATGGCAGAGGATGGGGGCGGGGAGCGAAGTGGGGGGGTGAGGGCGGGGGATTGGTCGAGGGCGGAGGGACGGGGGTCGCGGGGGTGCTGCTGCACTGCACCGGGAGTTCGAGGCGACCGCAGCGCCCGGGCTCCGAGGGGAGGGAGCGCGGGAGCGCGGCGGAGGGAGGGGGCTGGGGGAGGGGAGAAGGGAGGGGGCAGGCGGGCTGGCGGGGAGGAGTTCGAGGCTACCACCGTGCTCGTCGTCGCTGCTGCAGCCGCTCTCGGGCTCCGAGAAGTGCAGCCCGCCGTTCGTGGACGAGGCGCCGCTACCACCGCCGCCCGCCGGGCTCTTGGAGCTGCCGTTGGCCGATCGGTTCTTCCCCAGTAACTCGGGCCCTTTCTCCATCATGCCGGGCATGGTAGAAGAGGGGAGGGGGAAAGGTGAGGGGAAGAGGTAGGCGGCTAGGTGAAGGGGGAGATCGCTCACGAGGGCGGGCGGGAGGGAAAGGAGGAGGAGGAGGAGACGGCGGCGGCGGCGGCGAAGGAGGAGGAGGGTGTTAATATGGAGCCGCCATAACCGCCCCGGTCCGGCAGTAGCGCAGTCTCCTCACAACAACCCGCCCCGGCCCCGCCTCTCTCTCCTCCCCCCTCCGCTCGCCTCCCGCCCCGCGAAGTCCCGGGTTCCCCGCTCGGCTGCGCCGCGCTCTACCCTGCCGTCAGTATCACTCCGCCCCGCAGGGAGGTTCCGGCCGCCGGGGAGGGGCGGCGGGGGAGAGACGGGGAGGGCTGGGGAAGCCCCGCTAGCAGACAGACGGGGCCGCCTCCCCCGAAGATTACTAATAAAATCGCCGCAGAGGAGCCGCCGCCTCTCGGACTTCCTTCCTAGGGGGCGCTCTGGAGCCCGGGCGGAGGCGCACGCGACGCAGCGGGACTCTTTGCCCTCTCAGGGCGGAAGGAACGCGGCTAGCGTGAGAAAGGCCGGCGCGACCCGAAGCGCCCCGGTCCTGGGAGCCGCCCCCTCCTTTTCCGAGGGCGTTGCGGGGCCGGATGCGCCCCGGCGGGAGCTTGGCCTTGCTCAGGAACTACGTTGGGCTGGCTGTTCGGGTCCTGGGTCCCGGGTCCCTCCGCCGGCGTCCGGCGGGTGTCGGGCGCTCGGTCGCGGTGGAATCGGGCCCTGGAGCAGACGGCCTGTGCATCCCTACGCCCAGGCGGCCTGTGTAGTGTAGACTCGGTCGTATACGCTGCCGTTTTAGTTTCGTAATCTCTGAACTGGGGCCCGATTCCCTAGAGAGATGGATGGTGCCGAGCTGAGTTTCCAGTGCTGAGCAATGCAGCTGCATTTTGCTAAAAGGTTTTTTGCTTTTAACCTTACTCCTCACCCTCGTTTTCCTCTTCTACCTTCTCATTTTTTTTCTTTCCTTCTTTTTCTTTTTTTTTGGTTGGTATTTCATTAGTTTGGGAGTGGCCGCTGTCAGTGGCGAAATGAGGACTGAGTTCTTGCCCAGTTGGCGCCTACCCAGTCGGTGTCAGCCTGCGGTCAAGGCTTGGAGGGGAGCTGTAGCGAGGGCGGAGTCCCGGAGCGGTGAAGACGGAGCTGCATTCTGGCAGGCTTTCCAGGCTGGCCAGAGATGTGCTCTGTAATGCTTTTCTGAACTGCATTAGGCAGGAGGAATAGGGGACTACGTTTTTCGTTCACCACATTTGAGGACTTCGGCTATGTGCCAGGTTGCCTGGCTTTGGGGGCTATTTATGATTTTCTTTTTTTCCTGTTTCATGAGTATGTGAGAACTGACAGTGCACATTTAGCATGCAGAGCAGTATTTGGGGTCAACAGTAAGGAATCTTCCAAATACTTAAAAAGATTACTTTGGAAGGATTTTAGTTTAAAAGGTCAGTGCAGAGTGGATCAATCCAGAAATAAGACACTCTGACAGGAGCAAGCCTTCACTTAAATCGGGAAATGAGCCAAGGAAAGCCTGGGAAGTAAGTATTTGGTGGGGCCCCTTTCTAAAGGAAAGTCTGCTGGGCAGGTGCAAAATCTGGTTCTGGTGGTAGAAATAGTTTCATCTCTCTATCAAAGCTTGATATAATTCTATTCAAAAGTCATACATTTATTCTGTTCCTTTTACTCTATTCCTTTTCTCAACAAACAGTTCTGAATACTGTTTTAATTCCCATATAGTTTTTCTATAAGGAGAGAACATTGTGGCCAAATGAAATGATTAGCCATTTTCTTTGACACTTTTATTTTCCATTGTTTTATGCACACAAGCTTCTGATGAACATGATTCAGCATCTTTGGTCCTGTGCTGAGTGAATTCACCAAGAAATGTCAGTATGAGGCCCCTTGGCCAGCCAGCTTTCTGATACTCAGCTTTGTAACACCTTCCACCCACTTTTCTGCTTACAGATCAAGGACCAAAACATTGAAGATTAGGGGACTTTTGTAACATTTTTATTATTGTAAAACCCTTACAGTAAAAAGAGTCCACACTCTTTGAGTACAGCAGTGAAGGCAGAACAAGGCAGACTGCATTTCACTCTTGGAAGAAGAACCTCAGGGAGGGAGGTGGGTTATGGCATTTTTTTAAAAAGAAAGGAATGCAAATTTCTGTTTTGCCGCTGAAGAAAAGGAGTGTGGCCTGGCTCAGAAAAATACTAATGGGCCTTAAAATGATTTCCCAACATTTAACAGAACAGTCTTAAACAAGAAATGACCTAAGGAGAAAATCTTGAGTATGGGGTTGAAGGAAGAAAAGAATCTGGACAAGAAGAAAGCTTCAAGAAGGGCTTAATAAACAATGTCCAATGATGCAGAATCATGGGAATAAATTAGAAAATGCCTTTATATTTGTCGATTAGAAGGATATTATTTTGTGTGGCTGTTTATTTTTTTTTTACTATTTTCTTTGTACTTTAAATTTGGAATAGACAATACATTCTCATAGTTCTAAAATCAAAAGAGTATATATATCTGTATTGTACTGGACATCCTAGTGACTGCCAAAAGGCAAGGGTAAAAATGTATTAGGGTTAGAAAGAAATACATAAGTCTGTTATTTGGAAAAATCATAGTCTACATATAAGATGATAAACTATTAGTATTAATAAGTGAATTTAGCAAGTTTCTGGATATAGTCAGCATATAAAGATTATATTTTTATATACTATAATATAAACAATTAGAAAATGAATTTTTTAAAAATGATATATGAATGCATCAAAAATATCAAATACCTAGTATATTAGTTTACTATGGCTGCTATAATAGATTACCACAAATTTTATTCTCTCAAAAGTCCTGGAAACCAGAAGTCCAAAATCAAGGTGTGAGGGCCATATTCTTTCCATAGGCTCTAGAAGAGAATCTGTTTCTTGCCTTTTCCAGTTTCTTTGGTCTGGTGGCATTGCATGGCCTGAAGCTACTTCACTAGTCTGGCTGTTCATATTACCTTCTCTCTTTGTGTGTCTCAAATTTCCCTCTCCCTTTATCATGTAAAGACACTAATAGCGCCCTGGCTGGTGTGGCTCAGTGGATTAAGCGCTGGCCTGCAAATCGAAGGTTGTTGGTTCGATTCCCAGTCAGGACATGTGCCTGGGTTGTGGGCCAGGTCCCCAGTTGGCCTCATGTGAGAAGCAACCAATCAATGTATCTCTCATACATCTATGTTTCTCTCTCATTCTCCCTCCCTTCCCCCCTCTCTAAAAATAAGTAAAATCTTTAAAAAAACAACAACCCACTAATGGCATTTATAGCCCACCAGGATATAATCCAGGATTATAATCCAGGATTATCTCCTTGTTTCAAGGTCCATAGTTAATCATATCTACAAAGACCGGTTTTTCTCAAATAACATTTACAGTTTCCAGAGATTAGAACCTGACATCTTTGGGGCACCGTCCAGGAATTTCCCTAGGAATCAATTTTAATGAAGGATTTGTGCAGTCTAAGAGCTCTATACTGACTATTATTGAGGGAAATTAGAGAAGACCCAAGTAACTGGGCAGGTATACTATGGTCATAGATCAGAAGACTCAGTAACATAAGAGTGTCAGTTCTCCCCAAATTGATGTGTAGATTTAGTCTAATCCCTATGAGAATCAAAGCAGCTTGTGTGTGTGTGTATGTGTAAATTGAGTTGATTCTAAAATTTGTATGGAAATTTTAAAAGACCAAGAATAGCTAAGATGCTCTGGAAGAACAAAGCTGCAGGATTTATACTACCAGATATTAGAAAGTAGACAAATGGAACTGAATAGAGTTCTTAAACAGATGCGTATTGGACATTTTACTTACGCAAAGGTGACACTAGAATGTGGAGGAAAAAATGGGCGTTTCAGTAGATGGTATTGGGTCAACTGAATATCCACATAGAAAACAAGAAACATTGATATCTACTCATCTTTATAACTTTGGGTAGTCAAAGAATTCTTAAACAGGACATAAAAAGCAAGTTAAGGAAAATATTGAACATGCCAAGTACAGAAAATAGTATGAGAAATACAAAGAATCTTGGATTATGTCAGAAAACTAGAAATAGTCTTATAGTCCCTAGAGCATGAAGTCAATTGAGAATGAGGCTGGAGAGAGAGGCAAGGTCTGAATTACACAAAGCCCTTGCAGCATTCAAAGGGTTAAACAATTTACTCTCTAGATAATGGAAAAGGACCAGAGGGATCTAAGCAAGAGAATGATTTGGTTCACATGGTATTTTATTTTTATTTTTTTGATAGGCAAGAGGCTATATTTATTTATTTTTGGTTTAAAAAATTTTTTAATGTTTTCTTGTTTATGCCATTACAGATGTTCCATTTCCCCCCTCTTTGCTCCCCCTCCACCTTGCTCACTGCCTGCCCCCCAGTCCACTTCTGTAGTCAGTCCCCATACCATTGTTTTAGATGGAAATTGAATTGGGCAAAGAAATCAGGAGGCTGTTGAAGAAGCAGTCAAGAAATGATAAAGCTTCAATTATGGCAGTGGTAGCAATGATAGAAGTGGGGACAGAGGTAAATAGTAGGTAAAGTTAACAAAATTTGGTGATTGATTGAGTATGGAACCGAAAACGGGAAGGGAGGAGTCTAGACTAATGCCAGGGTTTTGCCTTGGATGTCTGGGTGGATGAGGTGGTAAATACTGAAGACTTACCAAGTCGAGGGACAAGGAGAATTCATTTCTAGATATATTAGGTCCTCCATGGGAAGATATCCAGCATTCAGTTGGCTGTATAATGAAGATCAGAACTGGAGCCCTGGCTGGGTACCTGAGTTGGTTAGAACTTCATCCTGATCCACCAAGGTTGCAGGTTTTCTTCCCAGTTAGGGCGTATACAAGAAGCAACCAATGAATGCATAAATAAGTGGAACAACACATCAATGTTTCTCTAAAATCAATAAATTTAAAAAAATCAGGTCTGGAGAGAGGGATTTGTTACCAATTGATTGTAGCTAAGGTCCTGAGACCTAACTAGATCACACAGGAGAAGCATGTAAAATGAGAAGTATAATGAAGAACATAGGAACACCAGCACTGAAGGGCCACAAAGAGGAAAAGAAGTCCATAAAAGAAAAACTAGAAAACTAAGAGAACTGGGTGAGTGTAACTTACTGCAACAAGAGGTATAGAGACCCAAAGAGAAACAGTCACTGGGGAAGCAGAGAAGTCTGGTGGGAGAAGGCTTAAGTGTGTGCAGTGCTTAAGGCAAGTAAAGTGTCATGAATGATCTTATGAGCAGTTTTACTGGGATGGACTGAAGAACAAAACTGCAGACTGAGAAGTGAAGAAGTAAGGAGATGGGAATAACCAATATGAATGTATTCCAAGAAAGTACCCAAATGGATGAGAACAGTAAATAAAACAAGGGGCTACCCTTAGTGTTTTGAGGCAAAATAAGTTTTAGGCAAGAGTATGTATATATGTAACATTTAAAAAATTGAAATACCAAATGCTCTTTATTTCCCCCCTATCATCGGATGGGCATTTAAAGTTGCAACTTTATTGTAAGGAAAAAGGACAATAAAAGTTATCTGAGTCCCTGTACATGGTAGATGCTGTGGACTCTGAAATAGAAGATACCTAGTGAAAAGAGCTCCTGGTGGTTTAACTGGGCTCAAGTTTAAAAAAACAAACAAAAACAGCATCATAGTCATTTCTGCACAGGAGCCTCACACAGACTGCACCTGGGAGAATAAGACTGCCCTGAACTGTCTCTACACTGACCTGCCTGCCTGCAACTGGGTTTCTGCCATCTGAGCCAGTGCTCATTAAGGAGTTCCTGGGATCGTTCAGCCAATAGTATTAAGGCTTTCTCCAGCCAATCAGAGGTGCGTAGCTGTATTTCCCGTCCCCAGCCCCATCAGCTTTTTTACCAACCAATCAGAGCAGCTCCGTTCTGAATAACCGGGACCGTGCCTTTTGGGCCAATCAAACTGCAGGAACTTGGAGTCCTTATTTGTATGAAGAAGGACCAATCAGGGGTGAGGAGTGGGGACTTAGTATGTACCTTGGGTTTCTGGTTCTGGGTTTGCACTTTCTACCTCTTCACAGAATATTCTTTTTCCCTGACTGGAGCAGAAGCACTGAAGAAGTCTCCACAGAGAAGACCAGAGGAGAGCAAATGTGCAAGGAACAGAGCAGAGCTGCCTAGCCGGCTGGAGAAGTGACCTGGCCATGGGACCTCTTAAAAGCAGTGCTGTATCACAATTGAGATATTCCACAGATGTGCTGTTTTCACGGCTGTGCTGCACCACAACTGAGCTCTTCCACAGCGGTGCTGTGTCACAAACGAGCTGTTTACACTGAATGAAGTTTCCTTCACTGCACCCCAAATTGGGGATTCCTTTTGGTGTTGAGTTGATTCCAATGGCCTTCTGCTTGATGATGTTTAACTATTTGATCAAAACGTTGAGTTCTGTATTAAAGATTCCAAGATTTTTTTTTCTGTACTAACATTTTTTATCTTTTAAAAATACTACTATTGTAATTAGTTTTTAGTCTTTAACACCAACATACACCCACACAATGAACTGTAAGTGACATTTTCAGAAAGGGTGAAGCATATCTACTTATGCCAATACAGAACAATCTTGATATTTTAAGGGAGAAAGTCAATGTGCAAATAGTTAATCCAGCATTCGTGTGTATTTGTGTGTGTCTTATTCTGCTCAGTCTGCTATAACAAAGTGCCACAGACTGGCTAGTAGCAGCAGAAATTTATAGCTCACAGTTCTAGAGACCGGAAGTCTAAGATCTGGGTGCTGGCATGGTTGGGTGAGAGCCCTCTTCCAGGTTGTACACGTTCCTTGTAACTTTTTGTGGTGGAAGGGGCTAGGTATCTCTTGGAACCTATTTTATAAGGCACTAATTCTATTCATGAAACTTCTACCCTCATGATTTGAGTACCCCCCGAAAGCCCACCTATAAATACCATTACCTTCGAGGGTTAGGATTTCAATATATGAGTTTGGATGGAACGCAAACATTCAAGCCATGGTAGTATGGCTGTATTACCTTTCTAATGTGCACATAAAATATATACATAGCTGCCTACACAAGCTCAGACTATTTCTAAAATGGTTCATAGAAACCATTTACTTCTGGGAAGGGTGTGTCTGTCTGTGATGGAAGGGGGAGTTTATCTTCCTATGTATACTTTTACACGGGTTCTTTTGTCGTGTATGTATTACTGTTTTGAGGAAATAAATGTTTAAAGAATTTAGTAATAAACACTTTAATGGTAAAAATGTAAGTAGAAAAGACAATGTTAAAATAACATTGTAAAAGTAAAGTTACGGCTAATAGAGGTTGGAAAGACAACAGTAGGGAGGATTGGATGTGGGGTGTGGGGGTGGGTAGGGCCAGGGAGAGTCATGGGGGGCAATGGGGACAACTGTCATTGAACAACAATAAATAAAATCACTTCAATTTTTTAAAAAGTTGCCAAGTAGAATGGACGAGGAAAGACAGAGGGTAGAGGGTTATCCTTATTTTACAACAGAAGAACAGTTAAGCAGGGAAGTAACTGGACTACAGCTCGATTCACCAACTACGCTAGGCACACAGGAAGGACCTCAACAGAAATCCCGTCTCATTCATATTATCCAGACTCATAATCAATTTCTTCATGATACCAAGTTTTCTCTACATAGTTCACTGATTCACACTTTGACCCTCCTTCTTTATTACTTCGGAAGTGCTGTCTCAGAATAAATTTAACTCTGAAATGGAGTCGGGTGGTGATGTGTAGCATGTGCACCAGGAGGGAGCCCAACAATGAGCTGCTTGTGTTGGGCTCAGTCTGTGTGGGGACAGCCCAGACATGTTTACAATAGGGAAAGAAGGTTTTGTTTTATTTTAGAGCCACTGATCCTCAACGGGGAAAGTGATAGAATCTTAAGAGATGAAAAGAACTTTAGAGGTCTGGTAACCCCCTTTTTCTTCACCCTCTAGAATACTACCGTTTGTGAAGCTAGTCTTACAACTTCCATCTCTCCTCACTTACACTCCTGTAGGTTTCTTGTTTATTTTTTTGCCTGCTCCTGAGTAAATGAGTATACATGGATAATCATTTCATTTCATCTGGTTTGCTCTAGCTTATCTGAATCTTTTAAGAACTTTTGGAATTCCAACTTTCTTACTCAACATGTTATGTAACTGAGCTGTAGGTATTTGCATGTGTGATCAACTGAATTTCTCTTTAAGGGTAAGAACATCACCTTAATTTGTAGCCTTAGTATTGTGTGCAATGCCTGGCGCATAGTAGATCCTCAGTTGTTTATTTAATGAATGAATTCTGCTGCTGGATGTAAAGAGCATTTTCTAGAAGAAAAAATGTTTTTAATTCTGGAATTTCCCTGTCTTTTAAAATAAGCAAACTTTCATCTGTCTAGAAGAGCTATACTTTAATGTGTATGCAGTTTTCTAAAAGCAATTTTGCTAAATTTCTAAATTATATAAATATGACTTTGTAATGACTTATTTGGCTAAAGGTTTTTGTAGATCTAGGTAATGAAAACTCCAAAGTTTACATCGTAACTCTGCTTCTGATACACAGTATTCTTTACTAACTCATTCACTTCTTTTTTAAAAAATATTTTAAAATTGCAGTTGAAATTCAGTATTATATTAGTTCCAAGTGTATAGTATAATGGTTAGGCTTTAAAAAGAAAAATCCTCACCTGAGGACATTTCTTTTTCATTGCTTTTAGAGAGAGAGGAAGAAAGGATAAGGGAGAGGGAAACACGGAGAAAGAAGCATCGACTGGTTGCCTTTTGCACACCCCTGGACTGGGGATTGTACCAGCCAGACTGGGGCTCTAACTGAAACCTAAGTATGTGTCCTGACCAGATATCGAACCCACAACTCTTTGGCTGTGGCGCAACACTCCAATTAACTGAGCCAAACTGGGCTCAGTCATTTATATAACTTATGTAGTGATTCCCCAGTAAGTCTTGAAGAACCCACCTGACACCATATAGTTAATAAAATATTGACTATATTTCCTATGCTGTACTTTCCATCCCCATGACTATTTTGTAACCGCCAATTTGCCCATTTGAATCCCTTCACCTTTTTCACCCAGCCTCCAATCCTCCTCCCATCCGACAACCATCAGTTTGTTCTCTGTATCTATGAGTCTGTTTCTGTTTTATTTTGTTTTTTAGATTCCACAGATAAGTGAAATCATGTGGTATTTGTCTTTCTCTGACTTATTTCACTTACAATACCCTCAGGGTGCATCCATGTGTCACAAATAGTAAGATTTCATTCTGTTTATGACCGAGTAATATTCCATTGTATATGTGTAGCACATCTTTATTCATTCCATTTTGGACTGGAGCATTTAATGTATTTATATTTAAAGTAATTATTGAACCTGGCTGGTGTAGCTCAGTGGATTGAGTGCGGGCCTGCGAACCACATGGTCACAGTTCGATTCCCAGTCAGGGCACATGTCTGGGTTGCAGGCCAGTTCCCAGCAGGGGACTCACGAGAGGCAACCATACATTGATATTTCTCTCCCTTTCTTCTTCCCTTCCCCTCTAAAGATAAATAAATAAAATCTTTAAAAAAATTAATTAATTATTGATAAGTATGTAGTTATTGCCGTTTCATTATTTTCTGGTTTTGTAGTGCTTCTCTGTTCCTTTCTTATTCTCTTGGTCTCTTCTTTTGTATGTTGATGACTTTATGTAGTGTTGTGTTTGGATTTCTTTCTCTTTATTTCTTGTATATCTCTTGTAGATTTTTTATTTGTGGTTACCATGTACTTCACGTATACCAAGCTATGTTTACAGCAGCCTTTACTTAGGTCGATAGTCACTTAAGTTTGAACACATTCTAAAATCACTACTATTTTTACTTACCTGGTCCACATTTATATTTTTGTCATTTTTTTACTTCTTTTGTGTGTGTATGTATCCCTTAATTTACTGTTGTAATTACACATGATATTTCTACGTTTGCCATTTGACCTTTGTACTGGCTTTAGTGTTGGTTCATCCACTGCTTTTATTGTGTTTGCTTATGTTAGTGAGAAATTGTAGTGGTGGGCGGGCGCGATATTTTCTTATTCCTGTTTTTTATTGTTTTTCTTCTTAAAGAGGTTCTCTTAGCATTTCTTGTAATGCTGGTTTGGTTGTGATGAACTCCTTCAGCTTTTCTTGTCTGGGGTTTCACTTTTCTTTTCCCTCCGTGTTATAAATTATAAAATAGAATTCACAAATTAATTTTTTGCTTATTTAAAAAGGTATTTAAAGAACATATTCATTAAAATCAGTGTATAGGGAACTCTAGGATCCAAATTATTAGGTAATCTGAAGATTTGGGGCTAAGATTAGATGTGTTCATTTCTGAAATGGAAACTACATTGATTTGTGGAAATTATCCTACAAAGCAATTTAAAAATGTTTCAGAAACATGATGCTCATGAGATTAGAGGCTCCTAAAATATTTTGTTGGAGATTAGAGATAGTCATCTAAAGATAAGGTGCAGAATAATCTATAAATAATGATAAAAATGCAGTTGCTGGCACACAGTAACTTTCAGATGATTATTATTATTAAATGTATGGATTTGGGTAAAATCAAAGAGTTCCTCCAGACTGACCAAGGAGAAGGCATCCTGAAAGATCCCTTACTTAAACTGAAATATTCCTGGAGATAACAGGACAAAGAAGCAGGTTCCCTGGAGAACCTCAATTTGCTAGAATATAAATAGGGTTTTTAAAAAGTAGCTGTTACCTACTGTGCTGTGTTTAGCTCCCCTTTCCCTTTGGATACAGGGTCTCTTGGCTGCATCTTGATCTAATTCCATTACTGTTGGTTACCATAACAATGCCATTGTATTTAGCATAGGCCAAATTTATGCCTCTCTAGGCTTGCAGGTATGAAATACCTAAATGTCCAAACCCTTTCCTACAAATGTATTTGCAAGTATCCCCTTTTTACTTTTTCCTAGTCTCAGAAGATAAGGTGTTCTGCTTCCCATTCAAAACTAATTCAGCTACCTTGTCCTTCATTCCCCAGAATCTTGCTCAATCAGTTAACTGCTGGTCTATGTTATTCTTTGTTATTTAATGAAGCCAAAAGGAAGTCCCTGTCTAGGAGTAGCTGCTTGCAATACTAGAGAATGAAGGTAAACAGAAAGAAAAGAGAGCTGAGAGATGAGAAATGAGGGGTGGGGGCAGGGCTGGGAAAAACACTTAATAGCAGCAACCTTCTATTTTTTACCCTGAGATCCCTGAAATTAACTGTTTCCTATAACATTTTCTTTAATTCTTTGAGCTATCCTGGAATCCTCCAGTGATTTCTCTTCTTTTCTTAATCTATTTCAAGGTAGATTTCTGTCACTTGCAACTTTAGCAGCAAGTTCTTACTAATATAACAATATTTATAAATAGTACTAAACTCTGATTTTTACACTGGCACATATCCAATCTGTTTATAACCCATCTCCTTGCAGTATTCCTAACTTAAATAGTAAATTAAATATTGGAAGCAAAGATAAGAATTTTTCTCTGTGACTTGATTCAACTTTATACTTTTTTATTCCACCCATTACTCTAATCCTGACCCACCTGAACTGTTAGATAAATGTTAATTAAATAATATATTGTCCAAAAGAAACATTAGTTCTCTGGGACAGGAAATGTGAAACCATACAGAGAAAGGGCATTTTCTGACTACATGGGATTTAGAATGGGCTGCTTTCCACAATGCTCCCTCCTTGGAGTCAGTCATTTTAAATTGTAGAGTAGTTAGTTCCTCTTTATATTTTCTCTTTGGGCCTTCAGATGTAATAAAGGGTTCTTACCTTAGTTAAGCCAAAACCACTAAAATGATAGTTTTAAGTATTTTCCTTCAAGGAAAAGAAGAGTCCATCCTATTATTATGGTTACATGACCACCTCTCCCTCCCTTTAAAGCCTTTATTCAGCAAATGTTATTGGAGAAACTACTAATTTGTACCGCAAGTCCTCTGCCTGTCTTTGGGGTTACAGGGATCAACTAGACCTTGTCTGTAGTCAGGGAGTCTGATAAGTCCACAAGCCCATTAAATACAGTCTAAAAGGGCTGAGCCTCCACAGGTATTGAAACACAGAAGGGGGATTCTGTAAGACTTTCTGTGGGACCCGATTTCTGAACGGAAGCCTGAAGAACAAATGGTAGGTGGCCCAGATGGAGTAAATGGCCCTGATGGCCCAGAAGGGAGTCTCTGGCAAGAGGAATGGCATGAACAAAAGCCTGGAGCCTTAATCTTTGTATTAATTCCACTCCATCTTTTCTGTATGTTTAATGTCTCCCTTTCCACTGGGCT